TCCACCTCTCGCGAGACTTGGCGGGGGGAGGGGGCGCTTGGCAGGGCGGCACACCGCGCATGCGCCACTGCCCGGGCCGACGGAAACGGCCGAGGCCCTTCGGGAGTTTCCGGGCGCCGGCGGCCATGGGAGCGGGCGATGGGGAACCCCTGGATGGCGATTTGGCGGGCGGTGCGAGTGGCCAGTTATCGCCAACGCGGGGCTGCCCCTTCCCCTGAGCCGGTAGGGGGGCCTTGCCGGCTGGCATTTGCCAAAGACGTAAAAATACGATGTGTTCTGAATATTTTAAATCAAAGACATTTAAATCCATTTTAAATTGTAAAATTTCAAAATTCATTCTTAAATTTGAATCCATTAAATTCAAGAATTTAAATCAACGAAGAGCCATTCATTTTCCAGGGCACGGTTACAAAGCAGGAGAATCAGCTGCATTGGGATCTCCTTCACTCAGATGCTCCCAAGTGCACCCCACGCGGGGCACGCACCGGGTCACTTCCACGGCCGTTCAGGCGGTCGGTCCCACGCCTGTTCCACCGAGTGTTCCACCGAGTGTTCCCCGAAGAGATGAAACCCAGAGAAGAAATGTTTCTATGCAGATTAGCAGGCCGTTGGATAAAAGGCTTCCGTAGTTTCGCATCTATGCAATAAAACACTGTGGGTTTCGAGACTGCTTTAATTACCCCACGGGCGCTGGTAACTATTACCCTATAAGCTATAACTGCCCTCTGAGCGCTCAGTTTGGTAAAGAATAAAGGGTGGAATTTTTTTCCTCTGCAAGAGCACAACCCAACTTCACCGATTTTAACAGCAGTAGGACCAGGTCCAGGTTTTAACCAATTTGAAATGTATTTTCACACATTTAGTATTTTGTCTGTGTGCAGATTTTAATGAAGCCCAGGCAATACCAGGGGCTTCAGCCCAAACTTGTAAAAACCACCGAGTCAAACCGAACCACCACCAGAACAGGGCAGGCCCAGCCTCTGGGCGCGTTCCTACGCTGGCTGCTGGCCACCACTGGGGAGCACGCGTTGCCAGCATGGGAATTTCGGGGGTTTTGCTGCTGGCCTGTCTGCTCACTGGAGAATCCAGCTGCAGTTTCCCCTGGCAGAGGCCAGCCACAACCCCGCACTGGTGGCCAAGACTCGGCCGAGTCCAGGCTGTCGGCGGGGCAGGGCCCTGGCACCCTGCAGTGTCCCTGGGCACCGAGGCCACCGAGACGCCATTGCTGCAGGCCCGAGGCCACGTCGGGCTGCCCGGCTTCTGCCTCTCTCGTACCGTCTCATTCCTACCTTAAATATTTTCAGGCCTATGTTTGTTCCCTGTGTCCTGTCCTACGCTCTTGCCACACATTTCCGGACTGAATAAGCGACTACCGTTTTTTCTAGCGCAGAGAAAGCTGCATTTCTGTGGAGTAAGCCTCTACTTAAAAGCTTAAAGAACCATTGCACATGTGAAATTTCTGTTGACACAAATGCAGTGACTTGTAGACAGAGTGATGGAGGATTCTGAATTTCCCCGAGGTTCTGAGGGGTCCCTTTTCCAGTATTTACTACAACACAGGGCTGCCAAACCCTGCATAGAGAATTTGATTCCCTACTGAAAAACTTCCTTGTCAACCAAACGCTCATTTACAAATGAATGGGCTCACACCAGACTGAAGGGCACCTGCCCTGATAACATCTTTAAAAAGCTGAGGCACAACAAAACCAAGCAGATGTAGCAAGTGGTTTAAATTCTCCTTACAAAGCCAATTCTTTGTACTTTTTAATTTCGAGGAAGTGACTTGCAGAGTTGGGGGCAGACATGTTAATGGGTATGTTCCTGCCTAGAGGAGACCTAGTAAAAGAAAGCAGCCGTAACTGTAAAGAATAATTGTTGGTAGTTTATTTACAACAAAATGCAAGGGGAAATACAATATTAAAAATAATAAATAACCTGGAAAATCAGAAACTAAGTGATATGAATGAGAAATATGACAATAAAATCCTCCTGCTGAGCCTTACATTATTTAACATGCAGAGCATTTCAAAACTTGGTCCTTCTTTGATGGCAGTGATGTATCGCCTAAGGCAGCCATCATTGCTCTAAATAAAAGAAATGAATTGCCGGACATTCAGAGTCAGGTGGAATTATCACAGAAATGAAATAACCCAGTGAAACCTGTTTTAGCGACACCACAAAACTACAGGAGGTTGTAATTCAATGACCATGCTGTTCATCTAAAGCAAAACATTGTTAGACTTATTTAGCAATTTTAACTTACACATATAAAACCAAGTCCAAACAATGGGAACAGAAAAGCTCCTACTGACGAGATCATGAATCCTCTCTTACTGCACTTACTAATTCATAGAAGCATATACATTTGGCTTATTTCAAATGATAGCACGTCGTTTTGAAGTTACAGTGCAGCGAGCTTCGAAGCAGTTTTAACAAAATGTAGCAGTCTTCTTACAAACTAAAATTCAAGGAACAAATATTTCCATTTCAAAATCTCTACAGCGGCGATTAATGCAAATTGGCTACTAGATGTCACAAAATCACCTTCCAGAATAATCAAAAAAGCCAAAGAATAATGTCAAATAGTTTCTTTCCATAGGATTTATCCAGTCATTTACAAAATTAATCATTACATTCATAAGCAATCCCATTAAGTATGTGTTTCAGGAATGTGCTGCTCCTCATAGCCGTTATGGATGCCTCCCTTTTTTAATGTAGTAGGAGATCTACCCTTCAAGAGACTGCAGTGAATTGCCAGTTATTTTGTAATGATTGTTCTATATGAAATACATACAAGTACGAGCAAAGCTGGGAGGAGGCTTTAATAGAAGCCCAAACAAACTGATCGCGTTACCTGCTCTGAACCATATTCTCCTTGATGAAAAATTCCTTCTCAAGTCCTAGCAGAGCTGTACCACGTACTTCTGTCACTGCGGCAGAGAACAGGAACGCGGTTACTGTGCCTGTTCAGCTTTGCCGTGCGGCACCATACTAATGCTGTACTCACTAAATAATCACATGGCTTGTTTGTGCAAAAGAAGTGATGAACACCTGCAAAATGCTCTGTTTTTCTCCTAATAAACATGTTTGAAAATGCAACAGAAAGCACTGTGAAAAAATCAGTAATGAAAACAACTTCCTTGCCTCAAGACGTTATACTGAAGTATTCAGACCCCCCTTTGCATTTAATTTTGTGGGGGGTTTTGTGTTTGCTGGGAATATTCTAGAAAAAGTTATCCTACCTCAAAAAGAAACCAACCAACCCCAATCAAACAGAAGGAGATATTTAAAGATCATATTGACCAAACGGGTAATGACTGGTGGGGAAAGCCAAGCAGAACACAGCAGAGGGCACTTACCCAGGCAGTGAAGAGCCTGGGGTATTTCCTCTCCAAAGCAATGAAACATTACAGATCTTGCCTTACCCCCAAGCCTACTGAGCGCGATCATCAGTGTATCCACGTGGGACTGGAGATCAGCGGAGTATGAGTAAAGGTATGACTGCCTCGGTCTAACGATCTGTGTCAAACCCAGGTGCCAAAAGGTATGCAGGAACAGTAATATGTAAGCGCAAGGACGTTATGACTAGAGCTGAGCAAATTCTTCTTGGACAAGGAAAAAAATTCACTGAAAAATAGACTTTCAGGTGGAGCAGACGCAAACCATTTCTATAGAGGTTAAATTCATGAAATGAAAAAATAACCAAACAATCCTTTATGTTTTCAAAGGTTTCCTTTCCCTGCCAATGTTCCAATCTCACTACTAAATAAATAATAAAAAGATTAGACCAGTTTTAATCATGACTACTTCCTCCGCACACTTTTTAAGCTGAAATCATAAAATGTAGGAAAGTTTTGTTTGCATCATTACAGCGGCTTCTTTTTAAGCAAAAAAATCATCACCCGTAAGGTTACTGATCACACAGAATTACTAGCTCCAAGAAGCAAAGCAAAGCAAAGCAAAACATGGACAGTAAGTGGGAGAATGCATGAAGTCAGACCACAGCTAAGCTACAAAGAGCTCCCCGATTTTGCTAGCTACAGGATTTTAGCTATCAAACAAATATACACTTGTTTTCAGGGCAGGTTGGCAGTGGAATTACTTCTCCTGCTACTAGAACTACCCTATAAATACCACACATTCAACATAACTTCTACTGGATCTACAGCCATCGAGAAGTTCAGTGCATTTAAGCCAGCCGAAGCACAGCGTTGTGCCGAGATGGCACCAATGTCCCTTCCAGCTAAAAGGCCCCCCCAAACCGACTGCTCAGTATTCAGTGACAGTTCAGCTCTGGAGGACTCTCTTTGTTTTTTTTAATCCATGTACCATGTCGCTGGCGGTACAAAATATTACCCACTTTGATCATACGATTCAGGTAATAGCCATCGTTCCCTGGGAGCTGAACAGCAGCTTATTTAACGTCTGCTACGGCTCCCAATAGAGACGGATGCAGACAGCATTCATTAAATAGCAAAACTGTATGAAAGAGAACAAAGTACCCCAAATGGGGGTCAGCGGGGAAGGTTTCTCACTGAGCTTACCTTTTGAACAGGAAGGAAGGAAGGAAGGGACCTCTTCTGCCATTTGTTTTTCTCCTCCTTCCACAATCTACACTTCCCTCCTGGGAAACATCCTTTTCTACATTTTAATTCCTGAGATTGAAGAGTGATTTCACACGCAGACCAGGAAGAGCACTTCTGTTTCCTTAACGTTGCCCTACACTGAGCAGCCCCAGGATTCATTTGCTTTTTCAAGTGACTGCTTTTGTTCACCCCTTCCCTAGACGACGGCAAAGCCCGGAACCAGCTTTCCATTAGCAGAGATTGTGCTGTTTAGGAAAGACGCGAGGCAGGAAAGAAAAAGAAGCCTCGTATTTTCTTTCCTTTACATTCAAGGTCTTACAGCGTAACTACCACTCTCCTTCCAGTGAGGAAAAGACAGAATTTGTTGGTTTTACTTCTCAACTGGCTCAATTTAGCTGCTTTTTTCCAATCTCACACATGGAACACCATTGATGAACACCAGTACGGACTTAAGAGATCACAAAAGGACAGGGGAGAGCTATTAAAATACATTATCTACAAGAAACAGGTGGTTTCTCTTAGAAATTCTGTGCAAGATAGAAATAGTTCAATGGCCTCAAAGTCAGTATAATTAATTACAACCGGGGCTTCAATACAGTGATATTTTAGGTTTGAAAAGTTTTGTGTTCGTTAGCTAGGCCCCAAATCCTGAGTCGTATTAAGCACAATGTGAATCTGAGCGAGTGCTGTCGGTGTTCAAGTACAATGAGTTACAGGTCAAAGGTTAATGAATACACAGGAGAAGCCTGAGAGTAGGAAAGCTTTTTAAAATCGGCTATAAAAGAAGAAAACGGGAGGGTTTTTTCTTGTTAACCCTGCATTCTAGTTGGCACGAATTTGCCTCAGAAGTCCTTAGCAGCTTTGCTAAATACCTACTCCTAATTATAAATGCTATGACCTAGATGAGGATTTGTAGGTAGAATACTGCTACAGAACGATTTGTTTTCTTATATCGGGTTCCCCTCAGACTATTTCATTGTATGTCAGTAAGACGCACCATATGGCTTGAAACACTACTTTAGGAATATATAAATGACATTCTCTTGCATGCACTTTTCCGAAGGTTTTAAGGATCAAGTCTGAGGAAAGCAGTAATCTTTCCACACCAGTAAGATTATTTTAAGCAAAAAAACAACCAACGAACCACCATGACCTTTGTAGAAATTGAGTTACGTCACTCTTGCTGTGGTAGACATGGCTTATCAGGAGGAAACATGCTGGGTTAATTTAAAGGGGTTTTTTTGCTGGATCTGGAAGAGTGAGAGTTTCTGGAGCAGACTTTTTCCGAGGCCGGTCTTTGGGAACTGTTAGGAATTCGGGAGCATCTGTGGAGAGAGGAGTTGATGGGGCACTAGATGGAGCACTGCGGGTTGAAGAAGGCATGGAAATGTTAGAGATAGATATTGCAGGTGGGAAAACCCCAATCTTCTTGTTGGTAGCTTCCTGAGTTGCTCGTTCAAACTCTCGGACTTCATCCATTGTCATGTCTTCAACAAGAAGAGAGAAAGATAAAGGCACGTTAGAATCATTTCAAAGGATCATTTCATTAACTCAGTTAAACTACTTCCATCCAAATTCTAAATCAGGGAATGATTGCTTATCATGCATATCATTAAGTGATTCTCCACATGAATGCTTTCCTATTGTAATGCATTGATTGGAGTACAATAAGCGGCCAACCCAAAGAAAATGAAGTTAAGTACATTAATCACATACTAATGGTTCTTCTTCTCCCTCGGTCTGAACTGAATAAGCAGTGCCACCGCTGTCATTGCTGGAAAAATCAAGCTATTTCACAGGCAATTAAAGAATACATTTAGCTACACAGCTAGCAAGTAGAATTTTTCTGAACTCTAAACAAAATAAAATACAGGTTGCTGGTTTTTTTTTCCCCATCTAAATTATGAGCATGAATGAGTAAAGGGGTCATCATCAGTTTGTTCCTCTACTGTAATTATCAAGGGATGAAAAATTCTCTCTCCCCCTATGCGCAGCTTCTATTGACTTCTAGTTGCAGCTGCATGCACCGAACTGAAGCTGCTTTGCTTTTCTGCTAACAAAGTCTGACGAATTCCCTCTCACTCGACAAAGCCACAACACGCTTTCCAGCTTTTCCATCCAGAATCTGTACTTAAACATTTATGGCCAACTGAAAAATCCACCGCTTAATTCCCTGCAAAAGAGAGGCAAAATGCGATGAGAGGTTGAAGTCACTTTGCAATGGAAAATCGGGTCCCCAGAAAGCTTTAAAAGCAGTGGAAGTCTCAGGCAGGTGACAAATGTGTCACAGTGCTGCGGGAACCCACAAGAGGGCAGAGCGATCCCAGCATAGATGTGCTCGGAGCTGAGCCCTGCAAAACTTTTCTGATAAAATCCCAAACGAATGACATCTGTGACAAATGGGTAAGTTGAGCAAAAAAATCAGCAAGACTCTTCCAAAACCTGCTGCTTCGTGTCTACGTTGCCTACAAGATGAACGCTGAGCCAACTGAAATAAATTTTACCGTTTTCACTGAACATCATGTTAAATTCGTACATTTGAAGTATTTCATTAAACCATTCTATAGATTCTTGGAGCTCTGAAAGCTCAAAAAAATCCAGAAATAAAAACACTTAGCATTTTAATAAATTTAAAATTCTCACACGTTTGGGTGTCTGCGACATGGGACCAGCAATGGTGCTTGCCATATGTGTGACAAAACCCTAGACTTTCAGTCCATCGATACTTTTTAATATTACCCAGCTGCATGCATCTGTAGCCTTGGCTGCGAATGTTATGTAGAAGAAGCTTTATGTTGTATTACAACATCATACTAAATAAACAAAAGCATGCACGTTGCCAGCTGCCTTCTCTCTTCCCTGCAGATGACATTCCAGGGACCTTTTCAGCCTACATTGCTGTGCCAGTTATTAGGAGTAAGGACTAAGCTATTTTCAAATCTGAGATAAGTGGTAGAAATAAACAGATGGTCTCCGAGGAACTGTACCTACTTGTGTTGGAGAGAGGCTGGAAACTGTTTTGCTGATTTACATTTTGTTTCACACCCTGTAACAGTGTGTGTAGTGTTTCTGAACTCAAGGGGTTTAAAAGCACCCTGACATCAAAGGGAGCCCATGCATTCATTTCAGCTATTTTCGACTGAGGACTTCTGTGCAACATGAAACAAAAGTTGTCCTGGATAAATGAAAGAGGACAGGAAGATTTCTCAATTTGTTGGCCGTTTAGGTGAAGACTGATTAAAGTCTTACTAAGTGCTATCCTCCAAGACTGTCCTTTTTAAATTCAGACATGAAATACTTATTGTCCCTTCAGCTGACTTTGGCTTTTTGGCTTACATTCACTTTAAATTCACTTCTGTTCTGGTGCATGCTCAAGTAAAACCAGTCCTTATCCTAAGCTAAGAAGGCTCAGGTTGTTTTTTTTTCCCCATTAATGACAAATTCTATTCCGACCTCAATGGCAATTTTCCACATGGGAGCTACGGGTGGTAGACTTCATTCAAAGCCCAATCCCGAAGTGTAGAGCCAAGGTCAGAAGCGATTCTCCACGTGCTGCTCAGCTAAGGAGTAACTGTGATCTCAATGGAGCTGCAGCATTATGCACACAGGAATCACCCTCCTCGTCACTGCCTAGAGAACCTCTTCTCAGGCTGGTCACAGTTTTACTGAGTAAGAACAAAGGAAAGACTTCAAACCCTTCAGGCCTTGCCCCACACCTGAATTTTATTTACACGAATAAAACCATCACTGAGTTCTACAGTGCAGATAGTAGAAATAAAGTAATAATAACATTTCAAAAGCAAGTATCACTGCATCTTTTCTGTTTGCAGACAGTAGTGATTTCTAATTTTAGGCCTCTACTTGAGGTGCACAAATTAGGGACTTAAACACTTCTATGAAGTTTCCAGAATCTGAAACAAAGAACCTGCACAGAAACCTGCCCTTCTCCTCAAACTGCTGTTACATACTTCTGAAAATACTCACCTTGTCGGTAGCTAATCAATGACAACATTAAAATTAGTTTGAAAAGCGTGAATAATTCATTAGCTTTTTTTTTTTTCCTGGTGAAGCAAACAATTTTATCAGTCCTGCAGAAATTTTCCACTCCCCATGTTCCTGGCTTTTTGACTGAAGCACTCTGAACTCTTGCCTTTTTAAACTATTCAAATAATAGAAAGTTTTATCATATTTAACTTCCTCTTTATGCATCCAACTGAAATTTGAGAATTGTGTTTCCCTGGAAGACAGGGAGTTGTGTATGAGACCAACCCCACCCTTTCTTACACAGAGGCAGTTTACAGGGTAAACGAAAGGCAGGATTGCACTTCATGGAGCAAGTGTTCCTACTGAAGCAAAACCTCCCCAAAATTCCACTGACTGGTCAGCAAGATCAGTTTATTGCTCTTCTCTGATCTGTGCAGGTGTATTAGCTGAGGATGGGCAATATGTTGGAAAAATTGACATACTCTTGCTTTGGCATGGCTCTCTATTTCATCCACAGTAGATGAATGTTGGTTGCAAACTTTAATGTTGGTTTTTTCATGCATATTTTTCTCGTATTCTCGAACATCATCCATAGTCATATCTGTAAAAAGTTCAAAATTGTTGGCATTTTCCATTGATTCAGTGCAAACTTAATTTATTTTTTTTAAGGAGAAGGTTCTAGGAACACATAGTCTTTCAGCAGAAGCCAAAAAAGGATGTAAAAAAAAAGCGTGGAGCAACTAGCTTTATGAAGACTGACTCATAAAGGTAGTTATATCAGCCAAGGAAGGTGTAAGAAGGTTAAGTCAAAGGGAGTCAGAGAACAGGAAGGAGTGGAAATTGTTTAGGAGTATCTGTGTAACATAAGGTAGGCAAAAAGTATTGAAGTGCAGGCCTTGGCAAAGGCCAAGATCTTCTAAAAAGATTTTAGAAGATCCCTTGGAATAAAGGATAGATACAGAAATATTATAAATATTCACTTACCTTTCCAGGAACTTTCAAAAAGATTTTATGTTTTCTTTGCATAGTACATTTCAAAACCAGCAAACATTCTTACTGTTAGAACACGCATCAGCTTAGATTCCAGAAACTAACACTTAATTATACTGGTAAGTGAATTAATAGTGAATACGTGAACAGTTTTGTAGCCACAAGCAATTTAATGATTTGTAAGAATTAGAAATATTCCACAAATCAGGCTGATCCTACCAGAAGGATCATTTATCATTGTCTAGGCATGCCTGATCTTGTCAAACTAGTGCCTCATCTCTTAGGCGCTTCCTATGTAACTCAAAGCAATCATTACAGATTTAAGAAATATTTATCATAAACTTCACTTCCAGTAAGAACATAAAGAATCCAATTGACTTGTGACCTTACTCTTTTGAGTATTCCCATGCTTTCAATAAATCTACTTCTGAGTAAGATGTAAGTGAACAGGAAGGCTGTCAGAATTCTGGCCTGCTCTTTACAACGGTTTGAGAACTTCAGAAAATAGCCATCAACTTTTTACTCGTAATACTTAAATAGCATTTTAGTAGCACAGTATACTTGGAAATGTGTACCGCTTTTGGTAATGTAAGTTTTTCTCGGGTTTACTATGTGCCACTTGGATTTGCAAATTCTTGTATCACACCACTCCTTGTTATGTGATATGAGGCTCTTGGTGTATTTTACGAGACAGCTTTTAAGGAAAGAGATAACTTTTAGCTGTTGTCTCAGTAGCACAATGTAATGCTTCCTCAGTGAAAATGAAATGCAGTCTAAAATTTTGATCAAAAGGAAACATGGAATACCACTAACTCCTACTCTCTCAGCCTTTTCCTTTTACTGTTATCTGGAATGAGAAACAAGCTCATAAGCCATGTCAGTAACATGCTACGGATGCATTTTGCCAAGCAGAGAACATGCTCTTTGTTAGTAAACAGCACTGTGGAAATAGATTTTCTAAGTAATAAAGCTAAATACAGTTTAGTAAATTTAATGACAAGACACATTCATACTTACAGTATCAGTAACAGTAATCAATCAGTAATACCCGTAACAGAACATGTTAATAATTGATTTTATTACACTGATTATTTGATTCAGTTTAGCTGACTTACATCATCTCCAAGTCTTTCTGTAGCTTTTATTTTAAAAGATGCTAATAGACATTGAAGGTACACAGACGCTTTAAAAATTGTATTTCTGAAAAACTCAGCCTACATGCATAAACATGTCAAGAGCAGCACCGCAACTGTTTTAAAGATCATTATGTATTAAATGGAACTGGATGTATATGAATTCTCTGGAGATATTAAAATTCCGCCTGGACGATGTCCTGTGCAGCCCGCTCTGGGTGACCCTGCTTTAGCAGGGGGGTTGGACTGGGTGATCTCCCGAGGTCCCTTCCAACCCCTGCCATTCTGGGATTCTTTGAATTGTATCTCACTCATTTTGGGTAACAAAATACTTGGTTTCTAGTCAGCAAGTCCTACCAGCTTCAGAACAATGCAGTGGTACAAGGGCTGCAGACAGCAGAGAGAGTTACCTAAGCTACCTTTCTGTACTTCCTTTTTTTAATTTCTAAACAAATCTTGCTATATACTTAGCCTTTATTCATATCTATTTTAGTAAGCCCAGATTTTTTAGGTTTTGTATTTAGCCTGACAATTAAGTTCTAAAAGTACACTATGTTATTTAGTAAAAAGACTCACCATGACAGTAAAAATCCACAAGATAATTGCGTATCACACTATTTCATTAGTGGAAAGAGTATTTTTGACAGGGTGCATTCCGAGTTAAGATGGGAAAATCTGGGATTAAATGTTTTTGGGCTAAACCTATTCTGTGTGGTTTACTTCATGTTTACTCACTTATCACTATCAGTTACTCTGCTGAAGTGCAGATGACTCTTTGCTTCCCACTAACATTTCTTTATGTCTTGCTTTAATAGATGTTTTGGGCAGATTTGGGGCATATTTGTGGACTGAATTCTTAAAGGAAGTCAGGCTCTTTGATTTAAAATTATCAGTTTGCCTGACTTTGTACAGGGAAAATAATGGATCACTATATTTCAGGTTAAAAAAAAAAAAAAAAAAAGTATCTCCAAAGAACTCCTTCTTACTGGATACAAAATTCTCTTACTAGTTTATGGCTATCCCAAAACAAAGGCTATTTTTAGTACATTTCAGTATATTTATGATCGTTACAGCACAAGATTTTCATGCATTATTAAATTTATAAGAACATCGTGATTTCAAAAGCAAATTTTTCTGTATTTTCAAAAAAATCAGCACAACGAGTTTGTTGTTAGATTCTAGTGTAAAATGATGCAGGTTTATGAAGTCACTGGAGATGTGCGTGTTCGCACCAGCTGAGCAAACTGACTACTTTTAAGCAATGCAGAATGCTCCTGAGTTTTGATGAAAGACAGGTGTCATTCTTATCCGTGAAATGCCCCGAACGGTGTTTCCTGAAGCTTAAGGAGGATCTAAATAACGATTCTAATTATATTCCCAAACTGCTATTATACGTTACAGACATGTCTTAGAAACTGCTCTACAAGTATCTATGATTATGGATACATCTTACCGAAAATGTATGTAAAAAGCACAAACCCCATGTGCTTATTTTATAAAATAGAATTGGCTGTTTTCATATTCAGGATTACTCTGTACTATTGAAAGTGCCCATTCCTACAGCTGGTTCATGGATTCAGAACAGTTTTTGCACGCAGCTGCTGTTGAATCAGACCCAGTAGGTTTTACATTTATATCCATTTTCCAGAAAGGACGTTAGCACTCCATCTTTTCTTTATTGCAGTCCCTATTAACAGTTTAAAACTTTCCTAAAAAGCTGAAATTGTGTTGGATCAGAGGCCCTAGGAGTTTGCAGTATGGAAATGACTGCATGTTAATGTGGTCTTAGTAAGAAGCTTTATTCAAACCTGCGTGCAGTTCTCCATATAGATGACTCTTGGCAGCGGCAGCTCCTCTCTGCCTACAATGCAGGGTGACTGGACTGATGCATATACTCTGAGAGGTATGGGATGTAAAGGCGTCCCTGTATGCTGCCTACTGGCTGCCTAAAATACAGCCTACTCTCGTTACAAAGAACCTGCTGTAACTGAGCTCCGTATGTTCCAGAGAAACTGAGCATAGTTCCGTCTCTCTCATGAACAACTTATACTAGGACCCGATGGTCCATGAGAGCAAATGGAGATCTGTTATTAATTGTCATAAGCTTTGCATCAGCCCTTTAAATGGGCTAGATTTGGAGAATACTTACCGTACCACTCATCAACCCAGGCAAAAGCCTGCCGGTGACCGATCAATAGTATATCTCTGACCACCTGCGAAACAAAGGAAAGGTTAAATACCTCTGCAGCAATAAAACATTTTACAAAGGTAACACTGCTGTCTTTCAACGTGATTTAAAGTGAAAAATACCCTGACAGTTTTGTCTCTAAAAAGACATGCCCTAGAGAGTCAGACACACTGGCTCTGAAGGTCTTGTAGTCCAGCCTCCCACCTGAAGTGGATCTATTGCCAACACTGGAACACATTAGCGTGGCTTTGACCAGCATGGGAAAGCCATTTGGGAATGTGTACAGAATCCATTAATCCTTGGGCAATTACATGTTCTGGAACTCTTCTTTTTCCTTGTTAGTATTGAAAATGTTACTGATAGTTTTTCTCAACCTTAGACCTAAGCATCTCCAGGCTTTGTCAAATTTATAGCCAGAGATTAACTCTTTGGCTCTGCTCCAGATCTTTCAGACCTTGAGAGGGGTCCGAAAGCAGATTCGGCTGAGCTCCCTAGCTTCTACACAGCCAGTTACATTCCTGTGCAGGGCAGTACTCAAGCTCTGCTTGTGTGAAGTGTAAGAAACAGCTCCTGTTTCACTGACCTTGTGTACAAATTGCTCTACTCTGGTTTGAAGTCCCCAGACCTCAAATTTCACAGTCACAAGTTTGTAGGAACACATAATTGGCTGATGGGTCTCTCTCCAGCCTTCTTTTAATTGGCCTCTCCCAGTCTTCTGTGACTTGAAATATTTAGGATCCTGCAAAACAAAGAAAACATACTGGGAAATGCAGGAGATGAAGTCCGGTTTGTCAGTTTGCTAAAGTAAATGTTTTGATAAGACACAAAATATGAAAACATGCTAATAAACATTCTGAAAAAGTAATATGAAATTGACTTAAATAAACACTTGGATATACTAAAATCCAATCCTGTCTTTTATCCAACAGCCAGTGAATCGATGGCAGCATATTTTTGGGCATGCTTTGACAATCATATCATCTAGGACATTTTCTGCTACAGGAAAATATGTTATTGCAAGTCATTACAATACAATGCACTCCAAGTGTTATTTATGGTCTTTGGGAAAAAAACCCGTTGCTTCTTCAGAGCTTGCTGTTCCACTACTGTCTCAGTGTGACTTACTAGCACTTTCTACCCATGCCTGTCTTCCTGAAATCATGTCCAATTTGAGCTTTGACACATCAACACTGATGTGACCCTGACAATGCCATTTTCCGTTTTAAGTGAACTTGCATAGCCAGGTGGCCAGCTAAGTATGAAACTCCTCCAATTTAGTCATCTCTGGTTACAACTGAGTTATGAGCAAAACACTGACTAATTTCAACTCTGTCTCTCTCTATGAACTGGAAAATCAAATAAATTGATGATGAAATTACAACAGCAAGACCAAAAAACCAATAAGGATATTAGTTCATCTTTGAAGTTTACTTTTATCTGTACAAGATACAGTTCTATCAATCAAAGTGTTATTTTCCATATTGGTATGGTTCCATTTCACTGTATGTCCAATCCTGCTAATTACATCTTGTAAATAGAAATAATTTACAGTTAAGCATTGATTTTCAAAACTTGAAAATAATGTGGTTTCAAATAATGGAGTTTCAGTAAATTCATAGTGGAGTTTCTAAAATCTGTCTTCAAGAATAACCACCAGTGCTCATCTGTGTTGCCTTCCCCAAAGATGAGATCTGGGAAGATCTTTAAATCCATCCTTTCTTATAAAAGCAGTTAAACATGTCTTTAAGTATATGCCTAAATTAGGCGCTAAATGGAAGACAGTCAGGAGAAAAAACAACAAAAAATTGCTAAGACTACGCTGATCTTAATTTTCTTTCTTTCAGTGTGAGCTGATATATCATTCAGCATTCCTTTTTTCTAATGTTTAGTTATCTCCTGACTTGGCTTCTAATTTTATCCATAAACTGAAGCTCTGTCATTAAAGCTTTACAAAGCTCTAATGAGGTGATAGTCTTCTTTCTCTGTGAAAGTCATTGCTTTTATTGCTGACATATTATTTTCTAAATAGAAACTTTAGGCTCACAGTATAATAAGGTTTCAATGTTAAATCACCATAAAAAACAATTCAGCGTCATCATATATTAGAGCAACATACTGCTGTATATCACAACTCATAGTCACATGCTGTTGCCAATCTTCTCACTCAATAAAGCTTGACCTCAGATTGATCTAGGTATTTTCTGGTTGAAAGAGTTGTTTTATAACTGATTATTGCCTGAAGCGATCAATATAATAATAAAAAGAAAAAATAAAAAGGGAAATACTAAGCCATAATTTCAGAAAGGAAAAAAAGGAAAATCAAAGGAAAACAGTTTAATGTAGGGA